AGTTACGCGTGTTTTATTACTGTTACATGCTGTGGGGTTGTGTTTAAAGAATTACTTTTTGGACAGAATTTTCCATTGAAGTTGTGCATGTCTACTCAGGTAGAAAGAAATTCAAATTAAAGGCTTTGATGTTAGTGTAGCAGTTGGGTTATTGGTCAAAGTGGGGGAAGTGGTGCAATGTACTGAAATCTTCAGTTTTCTTTAGAGCTTTCTCTAGTGTCTATTAAAACAGTGTAATATTAAAAAGTACTGAGTTTCAAATCTCTGTTTTCCTTGGCAAAGTATTTGTAACTGGACGTGGTCTTCTGGATTATAATGCCAATGTATTCACCAGGATTTTGGAGGATCATATTGCCTCCAGCTTGAGGCATAGGTGAAGGTGGAGGTGACACGTTCCTCCAAAACATTAGTAACTGTTTGCTGTAGTACCTAGTGTCATAAACCAGAAAACTGTGATGTTTATTTTTACTGCAGTGAAAATGTCAGATTTCATATAACATGTAGGAGTTTTGATGTCAGTTTTTAAGGAAAGGTGAGTGTTTAATCATTTTGCAACATAATTTACAGTTTCAAGAAGTTTAAACATTGTGGTAAGTACAAAGTTGGCTCTTCAAAATGCTGGAGTGCGAAGGTAAGTCTGCATATAAACCAAGGTAAGTTTCACTTATTTTAAAAGGGACGTCAAACTGTTTGGAAATTAGCTGTAGGTGGAAAGGTAAGTTCTAGTATTATTTTTATCTGAATGTAAGACTTTTTTTGTGAAGCACAGCTATGCAGCACCCATTATATTTTTGAAGAATGATACTGGATGGCACTGTGCAAGAGGAATAGTATCTATATAGGTAATAGATTTTAGAGATGTGCAGAGAATTATGCTTTAAAGTATATATCTTTTGTAAGGCTGTAATGATTATAAAGCCTCACATCAACAGGTTTGTGCCAAGTCTTAGGTAGGGACCAAGAAGTTGAATTTATTGGCATAAAGACAGGATTCTTTTCTTTTCTTCCCAATGCTGTAGTGACCGTGGTATGTATAAGGTGAAGTAGGGCCCCATAAGCATCCTGCTGTGCTGGTGTCAGGATATGTGTAGACATAGTTACAAAAACAAGCATAAGTATGACATCAGAATGTATATTTGTACATAACTGGAGTATAATATAATATATCAGCAGTGATAGATACTACAGATCTGATACACTGATCGTCTTCTACGTTATTAGTTGGTGAAGACATTTGAGGTAGTTGATAAGCTATATTTGAAGCAAGAATCCAGATGTGGAGAAAGCCAAACTAATCATTCTGTATCAGAGAGAGCTTGCTAGTAGAATAAGGATTGTAACGTTCACATTTGTTCCCAAGACAGGCTTCTGGATGTTTCAACTTTGAGGTAAGTATTGGGTAAAGGGGTGGGAAGGGAGAAAGGCATTACCAGCTACTAAACCCATTTGTTGAGCCCTTGTCATTCCAGAGTTGATGCTAACAATGTATATGAAGGAAATGGAGATGGGGTCCTGGTGACCCCAGCATGGAATCTTAATCATGTCTGCAACCCTATACATTACACAGACCAATGTCTATCCGTCGGCCCAAAGACGCAAAATGAGGGGTTTTGAGGGCTTCATACGGCGAGCAGTAGTAGTTGTACCAACAGACGAGGAGTTCAAGAGGCGTGTTGAAAAACGAGAGAAGCTGGAAGGCAAAGATGTACCAGACTCTGCTGTTCTAGAGATGAAAGGTAACTAAATGGACCAGTCTTCCGTAATACTTCATGCAAAGGCCAGGTTGAATTCTCCTCTTTTCTCTTAAATACATACCAGTTAGTTGTAGTGTGATGTTGTGACAGCCCAATCTGGTGTACTAATGTTCTTTTCAGCCAGCCATGCTCCTTTCCATCTTCGTCCTAGTAAATCATGTATGTTCACTGTATATTTGGTTGGACACTGTGCTTTGATGTTTTGTAATACTTGATTTTCTCCTTATCAGTGCTGAAAGTGTGTGAAAAGTTTAGGAAATGTGAATACTTCCAGTGCATTTCTTAAATTGTTCTTGACTCATGAAATCTTTAGAAAAAATACAAGGAGGTACCAGGGCTAAATATCAGATTTCTTGATACCACAAGTCTATTGCATAAACTGACATTAGTTGTTACATATGAATGACGTATTTTAATCTACTTTTGTAACATTTCCCATCAGTATGTATAGGTGCAATTTTTCTGAAATTAGTCCATTTCTCCGTGCATTGTGTAAGATTATCTTGATTCGTCTCCAACAAACTGTCTCACTAGAGTAGCAGATTAGAATATGTAGTCGTAAATCAGTGCAATATAATGAATCTATAGTGCATACAGGTTTTTATTTCAGGTGGGGTTTTAATGTGTGTTTATTTATTTTGTGTATTGATGTAATTTCAGCTAAGTCCACAGTCAGGTTTCATATTTCCACATATTGTGGTAATTAAAGTTATTATTGAAGGTTACCCAAACAAATGTCTGTCTCTGGCTCTCCTACCGATGTTATGTTGGGCTTTGTCCCTGTAAGAATAAAGAAATGTAATAAATCTCTCAGTTTAATGACAATCACCTAAAGACAGGAGGGAGTAGAGGCATCTCAACATCATGCTCATCAAATGTACTTCAGACAGTGTACAGTGTTCAACATAATAGTAGTATAATGAATAAACCATCTTTACAGACCTTTAGAGAATGATGATTACAGGTAGTAATTATAGTAGATATTTAAAACAAATATATGCAATATGATGCTTTGTTAATATTACGTTAATTCTTTCACATAACCTTTTACTGTGTAGTGAATGAACCATGTACATTAAAGTGAAATTGATTCAAAGACAGAGAGAGAGAGAGCACAGTATTATATACATAATTATAACAGTATTTATCCAGGTGGTACGATTTTTGTAGTTCAGTGTTAGCTTTGCCAGTCCATTTAGTTAAGGTTTGTTTGGATATATTGTACACATTATTTTAATAGCAGTTGCATGAAATGACAGGCAGCCCAGGTTTCTCCTTGTTTCAGACTTATTTACTTTTAGGAACATTTAAATTAGCATTGCTTAATGAAAAGTAAGTTTTGCGTTATTTTTAAGTCATACAAAAAACAATTTACTGACCCTTGCTGTTTCTTTTTACTCACTTAAAGCACTGTTCATTCATAATGTCAGCTTTTAGTTTATTGTTTTTGTATTGAACAATGGATTGGGAACATAGGGTGGGGTCAGACACACACACACTTAGATTCTTGAATGCTATATATATAATAGTTGCATAATGAATGCCATGAAACTTAGATGAAAATATTAAAGTTAATAACTGAATAAAACTGATTGTGGTTATAAAACATGTATATTGCATATTTTAATATGTTTAATTACAGAACTGGTGGAAATTATTATACAGCCTTTGATGTTGGAGATTATTGTGATATGTTTGTTTAATATGCTCCAAACTATTATTTCATACCTAGATCTTCATACATTACAAACATTGACATTTTTGGCTTGAAGTATTGATGTTTGTACCACATTAATCGGTGATTATATACATCAAGAATCTAAGGAGATGTGTTTAGAAACCAGTGAAATGATGCTTATTCAAGTGATTATGCTGTTACAGCCAACTTCATGTTGCCTGAGGTAGGTGATATATTCAATGAAGTACTATACAGTGAACTGCAAGAGGCAGAATCCCGTCCCTTGGTCGATCAGTACAACAGAGAAGGGCGAGATGCTGGGTATGGACAATCACAGAAGCGCCACAGAAATGACTCCCGTGACGGGAGGGACAGGTCTTCATTCCGAGGAGGATACAGACCAAGAGGTATAAATATAGGGTTATTGTGTTCATAATGTTGTGTTGTGTATGTCCTGTTCCAAAGCTACTTCAGATTATGACGCGTGTAGACTGGATGACTGGTAAGTAGGCTTTCCATGCTTCATCATAAATTGCTGTTGATTGTTCTGTGCAGTATTATAGAAGACCGTAATACTTCAATACTATATGATTATTCGTTATTTCAATATTATTTAAAATGTTGAAGTCTAGCCATGAATGAACCCCAGTAATTTTATGCTAACAGGCTGCTGTACATGTGATTGCCTAGTAGAGTCGTGAAATTAGTTCACTTTTACCCTCATGACACAGTTTAACTGCACATTATCTTGGTAGTAGTTTATTTCCACTATTATACGAGACTCGTCCACAAAGTAAGTTTCCCTGGGGCCGTTTACAGAAACAAAACACAATTTCATGGAAATATTTATTGCAACAGATACAGCAAGTGTCCAGCTATTTTTCAACATATTCGCCACCGGAATTGAGACATTGGTCATACCGTGGGACCAACTTTTGAATACCTGGGTCGTAGAAGTCTGCCGCCTGGGATTGGAACCACTGTGTGACAACCATCTCCGCCTCTCTTTCATTCTCAAAACGCTGACGCTGACGCTGACCGGACAGGAATTTCTTGAGGTGTAGGAAAAGATGGAAATCACTGGGAGCGAGGTCCGGGCTGTAGGGTGAATGATTAAACACCTCCCAGCTGAACTCCTGCAGGAGACTCGCTGTCCGTTGAGCCGTGTGCGGCCTAGCGTTATCACTGACCGCACTTCACAGTCGGCGGGAGCTGGAATAAGAACCTCCATCTTCAACAGCTGCAACGATGCTACTGTGAGAACGCGGGAAGTGCCGTTAGTGCATGCGCCATGCTACGTCATTGCTCTATCACGTACTCACAGTCGCTTCGCGCAATATAAGGTTTGCTAGCTGTAGGACGAGTAGGAAACTTACTTTGTGGACGCTCCTCGTATATTTTTGCCAATGATTGTATGATTTCTGGAAACACTCTTACAGGTGTTTTCTTGTGGTGGAAAGCTTTACCTCGTTATTAATGCAGTGTTTATATATTAGGTGGACCAGATAACAGGAACCGTAGCGGTGGCTGGCAGCCAAGAGGTGGAGGAGGAGGAGGAGGTGGTAGCTGGAGAGACAGGTACTGAGTCGTGTACTTATTTTTTTAAGGGTTTCTGGTAATGCTTTGGTGATGTAAGAACAACCATAGGAACAGTTAACAACTTCTCTGCAGCAATTTTGAAGCTCACAATAATGGTTTATTTCATTTGATCAATGCTGGTTTCTCTTAAACTCTGGTAAGTTTGTATGAAACCCAATAGATGGCAAGAGTCTTGATATGGGAGTGAAATCCATTGTGATGACGTGAATCTCTGTATGGTACTGACTCATTTGAATGAAATGTGATATCAAGGTGACTTCAGCATGTAACTGATAAAGCTGACATTTTATGCCTAAGTGTAGGATAGAGAAACAAGGCAGATGGCAAAAGTGAATGAAGGAGAGTTAACACTAATGAGTTTCGGAAGAAATGGAAAAAATATCATCTGTTGTCATTTAATGCTTCTGTTTGTGGGTCTGAAAGTTTGATTCTTGAAAATGACATTTGTTATATTCTTTCACTTAGTGGACCTCTTGAAAAACTTCATGTGATGTTTAAATTTGTTATAAAGCATGTGAGACAAGAATAATGAAGATTAAACTGAAGGAGCCGAAACACCTTACTGGTCTAAAAGGGTCAAATGTATTACACAGTAGACCATGATACAAATATGTTATTCAATTAATTCTTAATTACCTGTGGGAGTTTTAGATGCTCTCTCATTCTTATATAAGGGAGTAGAAATTTTGATTTGTGTTTGCCAGTATCTACACTATCTGTAAATGGTGGTAGGTGTTACCCTTTCTCAAACAAGTTTGGAAACTGTATTCCGTACCAGAATACACATAATTTCCTCATGTGTTCTTTGCAACATGCATTTACAGGTATTAAATTTGCCTTGTTCAATAGTTTTCCTTTTGGCTGCCAGATTGCAGCACTTTACTGTCTACCTCATGACTTTTCATCCGTCATTTTATTTTTACCGCTCGTAGGATATTCACAACCTCAGAATCAGAGGTTGTGCAAGAATAGTACAACGTCTACATCAAATTTCAGCCAGATCCATCCAGTGGGTCTCCAGTTGAATTGACTGGGTAGACTAACATGACCAGCCCACAGTGCGTTCTTACTATGCGCGTTGTGCAAAGAATGCATAATTATCTTATTGGGCATAGCAAGATGCGTAAATTTTAGGATGATGGCCGATGATACAGTACACAAATTCTGCTTTTAGGTGTATTGAATGTTCTCCATGGGCTTAATAAAGTATGCTTCCTTAATTCCTTGTGTGTCACTTCAGATGTAAAAAATAAATTGGTGCCAGTATCATTTTATAACCTTTTAAAGACTACTTCATTGTACTGGTCTTTACTATGAGGCAATTAATAAATTAGAATCCCAACACTGAACACAATGTACAGTTAGCTGCTTATTAAATTGTTTTGTTGTCTAGAAATCAGCCTCATGGTGGTTTCCGAAGTGGTGGCGGAGGAGGAAGTGGTGGTGGTAGTGGTGGTGGTGGATGGAGAGGAGGTCGTGGCAGTGGGCGAGGAGGTGACTCCCATGGCAACAGAGGCTTTGATCGTAATCGCCAGTCAGGAGGAAATCGTAATCAACAATCTGGAGGAAAGGTATGTATGAATGGATATTCTGAATTATTTAAATTAGCCTACGCCAGGGATTGAAACTGGATTCATGCAGGTATATTGTCATATCTTTGTAGTTAAGTGTGTAGAAATATGTTATGTTATTTTAATTCTAAAGGGTTTTGACGACGGTAGTTTACATTTAAAATTGTTTGTTATCTCTCACTGGACTAGCTCTATCTAAGGGGCCCAACAGAGTAGGCACCTCTCACCTGAAGACGGAGACAGAACCAGCCTCTGAAACGTCGATGGAAAAGTCCTGATAACGAACAATTCTGTTATTTTAGTTGAATATTTCTGATCCCCCCTCCTCCAGAACATTTCAGTCTGTGTGTGTGTGTTTTTGATACTTGTATGTGACATTCTGATGGACAGAGAAAAAAAATCATCTTATTCTTTGGTTTCATTCTTTTTGGTCAAAAAAGAAAGTGGGTATGTGACAGTGTTCTGCTTCTAATATTGTTCAGTATTCACTTTCCAGTAATGTGGTAATTAAGCTATTATATTGCTATTTTTGTAATCTAACAGTTGGCTTTGCTGATATTTGTCACTTTATTCCATTTCAAAACAAAATATTGTTTACACTCTTTGTGCAAGAGGAATTTAATATGACAAGTATCATAAATAGTTTATACTTTCTCATCCATTCCTTTGATTTCCTACTAAAGGACCTGTGCCTCAGTAATGAATATTGTTTGCTATAGAGAAATGCATATTTACCCGTTCATAAGTTATCTCCTGAGGCAAGCAACTTCCTAGTACTTGTTACATTCATTCAGTACTTTCTGTACCCAATAATGGATTATCGTTAACAGCTTGTTTCATATACGTGGTGTCCCAGTGTTCTTGGAAGGCTAGACATATTGCATCAGTGATATTCAAGCCATGAAGGAAACTGAAAGTGGCATAAGGTTTAAGGTTTGAGTGTGTTGCAGGGAAATTGGGGAGGCTATAATCAAGGAAGTGTTGGATGTGGCGGCAGCGGTGGCACCAGCAGTGGTGGTGGTGGTGGCAGCGCTGGCGGTGGCAGCAGCAGCAGCGGTAGCAATTGGGGAGGTGCTGGTAGTGGAAACTGGGGAGCACAGGGCTACAACCAGCAAGGTTGGACGCAGCAGAATTACCCACAGCAAGGTTGGAAAGGTAAAACTTGATTTTTGCATTATCTTTTCTGAAGGATTTTATCACATATTGCAGGTTTTCCACATGATTCAAACTTATTCTTTTGAATAAAATTGAAACAAATTATTGATAGGAAATGCCAAACCTCTCCACTTTGCTTGAGGCTACTGTATTTTCAGTGATTTTACTTGCACTAGATTATCACATTTGTTAGGTTCTGGAAGAAATATGTTGAATTATGAATGCTAGGTTTCTTTCTTTGAATGATTAGTGGTAATCTGGTTGCATGGGAACTAATTGCACTGGCTGGAAATTAATTTGTTATTTAATCTTGGAAGAATTTTCAGATGGAGTTTAATGATTTGAGTAATGTTTATTCTTTTGTACATGTCTTGTCAAGTCAAGTCAAGTCACTATATGGTAAAATCTTGTTAATTTAAATGTAGTTTTTACAGAATTTAATGCAGTTAAATTGAAGTTTGCAGGTAGTTTGAAATGAAAATTTGGAAGAATTACAATTTAAAATGTCATTTTTTCACAGTGTACTGCTAAAGTGATACCATATCCTTTTTAGTTAAAAATTTCCATAGATCATTGCATTTAATAAAATCAGTATCCTCTTCAACCATCTGTTAAATCTGAAAATTGTCAGTGGGCTTACAGATTCCAGGTCGTTTTTCAAAACTTCCTACGTCTAAAAATTTGTCACTGCAGCTTTTGATAACAGCTCGTAATATTTTTATTGCATAACAACAAAGAGGGGTCTTACTCTTCAGGCTGGAAGGCCACATTGAAAGGATAATGTGCCACTAGGGCTAGAACATTCAAAGATCCCTACCATAGTCGACACAAAACTGAATACTACCTTGGACCTGCCTTTGCTGCATAAGGAAGTTTACATTTTGTTCCACTTTTGAAGTACCAGTTTGCCTCACGTCATGCAAGTACACATCAGTGATTCTTGAACTTGGCTTTGATTTATTTTGATACAGGAAACAGCCTATTCACACGAATTTGTGCTGCCAAATGCACTTAACAAATGACATGCTAATGTGTCTAACTCAGAAAACCAAGATACAGGTAAAGAAGCATAAGATGTTATTAAAATTTACTGGATAAAACTACTACTACACAAGATTGAGTTGAAGATGCAGTTTTCCTTGTGTGTTATGGACTTCACAGGGGAATGGTTCTTCAAAGCATGGTTACAAAAGTAATTGAATGTCATTTTTAAATTCTCAGCTGAGGAATCATTCACTTGTATAGCACAGACACTTGGAAACAACACATGATGATCCATTCATATGAAGGGAATCACAGGGAGAAGAACGATATAGGTTAATACTTTCCAGCTACTTCTGAAATAATTTCAATTTTATTTCAAAACCTCAGGCATCTCCAAACATATCAGAAAAGTGTTTTGATGACCATGTAGTTTGGTATGGTTGTAGTTATGTGGTGGCTTATGTCACATGGCAATGCCAAATTTTAAAACCAGTTATGAGTTACTGGGTTTTTGGAGTTTGGCATAAATGAACAGCAAGTACCAAAGAGGGTTCTGAACATGAAAGGAGGGATGCTGTGACCAAGATGGGAACAAGTTAGTGCAAGAAGAACCTGGGAAGGAATTGAGCTGTGGAAGACGAGAGTTAGATGGAAAGTTTTCGTTGTCAGATCACTTACATAAAGTGAAGATACCTTAAGAGAAAGAAGAAGAAGCTATGTGCACGAGAATGGCTTAATCTGTGGCAGGTGGTGCATGCGATTGAGACGTTTATGCAATAGCGTACTGAGTTTCCACTGAGTAAACCCCCAGTTGCTCTGTGATCTTGGTCTCTTTGTCACATTTGGCAAAATGTTGAAATTTGTGCAGCATTCAAACAAGTACACAGAGCCCCCAGTGGAAAGCTTCCACATCACCAGCACCAAATGAAGGCATGTCAGTCAAGATCACAGGTGAAGGTCTTGTTGATTGCATTCTTTGATTTGAGTTTTTCCCCTGAGGTTAAACAGTTAATTCAGCATTATAAAAAGAAGTCTTACAATGTTTGAGAGAGGTGTCTGACAGACATTACCATAGGAATGGCGGAACAGCTTGATGCCACATCATGACACTGTACGATGCTACTTGTCACTCTCCATCCTCCAATTTTTGATGGATAGAAATAACTACGAGGGTGAGTCAAATGAAAACCGTAAATTTTTTTTTTAAATTTAATTTATGGGGTGAAAGCGGTACACAACTATATCATTTTTCTACATAGTCTCCATTTCGTTCAATACAGGCCCTCCAGCGTTTATGAAGTGTATGGATTCCTCTACGAAAAAATTCTTGTGGTTGTCTGCGCAACCACTCATGCACCGCCTGCTGTATCTCTTCGTCAGAACGGAACTTCTTTCCTCCCATCGCCTCTTTGAGTGGCCCAAACATGTGGTAATCACTTGGGGCTAGGTCTAGTGAGTATGGCGGATGTGGAAGACACTCAAAGTGCAAGTCTTGGATTGTTGCAACTGTTGCACGGGCAGTATGGGGCCGAGCATTGTCATGTCAAGGACACCTCTAGTCAAAAGTCCACGTCGCTTTGATCTGACTGCAGGTCGAAGATGATTCTTCAAGATTCTTCACTGATCAAAAAACGAATTACAGAACGTTGTTCTTCTTTCGTGCACGTAACTAGTGGAGCAGCCATTTTCAAATTGGCACTGTGATGGCGATATGTTTGTCTGCATTATACTACCACCTATAGGATACTCGTTATAGCATTGGTAACATGTCTGCCAACTTATAGGACAATGGCGCGATATTTCGAATTTTTATCTCAGTTTTACGGTTTTCATTTGACTCACCCTCGTACAACCAGCCTACTCTTCTGACCTGTCACCATGCAACTTGCAGCTCTTCCCCAGATTCAAAGAAATGGTGAAAGCGGAGTAATTTGACATGATTGAAGACACTATCTCCAGCAGCAACTTCATGTGCATCAAAGGAAGTACTTAACGGGGAATGGTGATGAAGTGGGTATTCAGTCATTCATAGGACTTCTTGGTATACATTTTGAAGTATCTCAGTTTATAATTAGCTTGCATATTTTGTAACATATTTTGCTGTGGTGTGGGTATAAAATATAGTAGAAATAAGTTCATGTTTTAAGGAGAAATATATCTTGAAATGTTGAAGTGAAATATTTTACTTACTCTCTTCTTTCATTATTCTTTATGAATGTATCACTGTGGTGTGAACTGATTAATTAGATATGCTGAGAAGGTGCAGAATTTCATGAATGAAAATAGACTGACTTGTGCGTAGGCTGCATCACTGTTTTCAGACTGAAACTTTAGAATGGGGACTATAACCCGTATGAACCTCTTGTTTCCATTGCCTGCAGCTGTACACCTTTGATGTTCTTTGCCTCTCCCCAACTTGAATGGACGGAGAAACCCACTTCTAAGTCGAAAGCACTCATATGATGGGATTCCACTTTCTGCCCTCCCTGTTTTACTTTGATATATGTTTTGAGGATTAATTCCTATAGCTCCTAATGTCCCATAGGCTGTGGCTAGTTGCAATTTTGCTAACCACTGACTGTGCAGTGTAACTCAAGGAGACTACTGTACATGCAACGTGGTTACAAACTACCGATTTAAGATGTAGCGTATTTAAAGTCTTACGAGCAAAACCTCTCAATTGACAGTACACATATCTTGAATGCTGACTTTTTGCCCGTAGTTTCATGGTGTGTGTGGAGCTTTGCATTAAGTGTGACCTTTCTTCTAGGCTATGGTCAGCAGGCAAGCTATGGACAGAACTATCCTCAGCAGGGCTATGGCCAGCAAGGTTATGGAAATGGCAGCAACTATGCAAACTGGACTCAGCAGTATTACAACCAGGCCTACGGCACAGGTGCACAGGGATGGGGACAGGTACAATTTTTTGTCTTATTTTGCATGCTAAGAATGAAAACATACTTTATGTCTCAGTAGTCCATTTTCAATGTCTTCTCTTTTGTCATGAGGTAAGATAACGTTTTGTATGATTTGAGGTTTTCACAGCGGTGAGTATGAAAATTTCTGTCTTCTGGGTTGTTGCGCTGTGTAGTCTGGTCGATGTTAACCAGTGTATCAGAGGTCATACTGCCTCCGTCATTAGGGCGATGAATGTGCCAATTGGATGGGTGGTGCTAGGTTTATAGGAGCCAGACCCTGAATGGAGTAGCCTGCCCCTAGCCAATGGGAGCAGGTGTCAAATCAGGCATGAATGGGGACCAATAGGAGCGCGTGTGGGTGTGTGAGAGAGAGGGAGGTCAAAGTGCAGCCCTCATGAGGGCCTCGGGACGTGCGTCCAGTGGGACATCGGGAGTTGGGTGGATTGTGAAAAGGGCCAGGTTAGTTATCTGGGTGGTTCATGGGGTGCACTCTGGAATGCTTCCGGAGCCCTCGAAGAGTGTGAATGAGGGGCTTCTATGACTGGCTCAGGTGAAGTCCATCTTCCCTGTTGAAGTTGTCGGGATGTAATTCGATCTCGATGGCTACCCTGATGATCCAATTCATGTAGCTGGTTTTTGTCGAGAGGACAGAAGTATCCCCGAGCTGTATGTTGTGTCCCAGGTTGAAGCGATGTTCAGCAACAGCAGATTTATCAGGCTGTCCAGCCGGATGTGGTGCTTGTGCTCCTTGACCCTAGCTAGGGTCAAGGAACCTGTTACCTGCATACAATGGCCAGATGAGATGTTTCAGATCAGAGCACTTGCACATAGTTTTAGTGAATTTGAAAATATTGACATATTCCAAGTCCCTGTTTTAAGGAGCATCTTCCAAATATTTTTAACTGGTTCATGTTTCATGACAAAAAAGAACTGTAACATATCATACTCAAAGATTATAGACGCACAGAATAACAATTTATGTATAAATATAAAACAGCAAACCACTGATATCCATAATAAGTTCTTACTCCTGTAAAGAAGCCCATAAGCACAGCAGACAAAGCTGCTATTCCCTAGTAAGGACTGAAAATTATTGGATTTGCTGGTAAAAACTTGATTCAGAATTTGAAGATTTGGGGTTTGCTACTCTTTTCAGTACATAACACATCTTTGTTGGTAAACCCTTTCATCCAGTCAACACTATGGACTTTTTTTATTAGAACTGTTTCTGACTATTTCTAAGCCGTTATACCCAGCCAACATTAAGCATGCATTGGATTACACAACAGTGATGAGCATTTATGTCTTTGTGAGCCTCTTCTGATGTTGAAGATAACCTAACCTGCCTTAACCCCTCCT